TTCATTCATTGTTTCGCATATCAATTCATTTGGTCGACAATTAAACCACAGTTTATGATTATCATGGTCAAATCACTACAAATTAGATTTTTTTCATCAATTATTACAAGTTTTATAGTTCTCAATAAAAAATAAAAACTTTTTATAACTTACAGTAATCGCTGAGGCACACAAATTACCATAGTCTACCGGTATATTCTAGAATCTAGATGCTTTAATTTATTATGACAATAGCTAGGTTATTTTTGTAGCAAAATTCCTATTTGTTTTTAATTTATAAATATATTTTTTATTTGACTGATTTGTGATTATTTACAGAATTAACGATAAATTCATTTAATTAAAAATTATGATTATATTTGTGACTAAAATTATTACAAAAACAAAAACTACCGGCGCTTCTCACACGCTTTAGGCGAGCGCCGGCTGTGGACTATTGCCTTGAGAGCTCTCCTCTGCCTTCTTCTGGTTCTCTCTGTCCTTCTTATCAGCCTTCCTCTGGTCAGACATTATGCCCTCCTTTTCGTAGCGGATCTCCCGTTCCGTTTTGGGCGGCGGCGCCGGCGGTGCGATGAATGTGCGCCGAATGGGCTCTTTCGGGGGCATCCATTCCGGTGTTATCTTCGCGTGTAATCGCCATTTGCCTGAACCCGAGGAATAGACACACAAAATAAGACACAAAGTGAATGAAAGTGTAGTGAGGGTTGGGAGGGAAGGGGTGGTGTGGGCGGCGATCCGTACCGTACAGATTGGCGATATGTTTCTCGAAGACCACGTACTCCAAGACATCCTTAACCACAGCATCGCTGCCATGCATTAATATCCCGAAGCGATCATAAATGGCGAGTATCTGACGGGTGTGTAAGCGGACAGTCATTTGCGCGAAGAGATTGTTTTTGGACAACACGTCGAGTGTCCGCACGTGAGACACGAGTGGCTTCTCGATGGCGGATATGAACTGCCATTTAATGGTCTTGAGGTTCGTCTTGAAGGTCATGTGAGGGAAGGCGTGTTCAGTGACGAAGTCGTGCAGTGAGTCGTACTTCTTGTCGGCCAAAGCCGTGTGGGCTTTGATGTAGACGTCGAGCGCGTGCTCTGCAAACGTCGGCAGATCTAACTCGTCCTCATAGGTCCGCACCTTTCGTAAGGCTAACATCGATCGACCCTTTTTGGACACTATGTCCCACCGCTGTCGAGCACCCTATTCGGGGAAAGGCATCACAAATGCACCGTTAGTTTCAAAGTCAACATAACAACTCTCTCTCTCTCTCTCTCTCTCTCTTGCGAGTCATGACTAACCACTCCGGATATGATGGACGCCTTGCCATCGCCCTCGGGGGGCACAAAGGGGTCGAGTATGCCATTGGTGGACGACATGGTCATATCGCGCTCGTTGTAAACCCTCGGCGGCGCCACTCCTTTCTCCTTGAGTTTGGATCTGATCTCTTCGGGCGACAGTTTGTCTTCGAGTCTCAACTCATTAAAGTC